CTAGTTAACAAAAAAGACAACAAAAAAAAGGAGGAAGAGAACAATTAAAAGCAAGGGGCTTCCTCCTAAATCTCATGTGCCCACCCAGAACCGCTTCGCAGTTCTGCAGGGGGGTAATGAGGAAACACACACCAGCACATGAACAACCGGCTGATGCACCGGTAAAGAAGATCGCTAATAGTGCTGCCAGGAAAAAGCAATGGGTCACAGTAGTAGGGGGCTCTACTTTGAAAGGCACAGAGGCACCCACCTGTCAGCCTGACCCGGTCTCAAGGAAGGTGTGTTGCCTACTAAAGGCTCAGATCAGGGATGTTGCATCGAGGCTGTCTGGTCTAGGAAGTCCCTCTGACTGTTACCCATAGTCATCCATGTGGGTGATAGTGATATAGGTAACAGTAGCCCAGAGAACATTACGAAGGGCTACAGAGCCCCGGGAGACATGGTTAGGAGCTCAGATTGTCTTTTCATCAATTCTTTAGGTTAAAGGGAAGGACCTTAAAAAGGCCAGGTGGATTTGGCAGGTTAATAAATGGTTAGAAGAGTGGTGCCATAGTCAGGGGGTTGGGTATCTAGAACATGTGACTCAATTTGGGAGGGCAGGTCTACTGGAGGCTAGTGGAGCTGGTCTAAAGGGGAAGAGCGGTTTTGGTAGGAGGCTTGCCAGGCTGGTCAAGAAAGCTTTAAACTAGATGTGATGGGGGTGGGGGGCATCATTCCATCCCAACACACCCAGTCAGTTGCCAGCACCTATAATAAATGTTTGGAGCAATGTAGAGATATTTCAGCCGCTGCAGCCAATGAGCCGGCTTCATTTGGAGCTCGGCTCAGATGCCTCTATACAAACACCCATAGTATGGGGAACAAACAAGAGGAATTAGAGATGTGTGCTTGTCTACGGGGATATGATATAATAGGTGTCACAGAAACATGGTGGGATGGTGCCTATGACTGGAGTGTTGGAATGGAAGGTTACAGGCTCTTCAGAAGAAACAGGCCCAGCAGAAGGGGAGGGGGAGTTGTCCTTATGTTAGGGATAGGCTGGAGAGTATGGAACTCTGTCTGGGGACAGGTGAGCAGTGAACAGAGACTTTGTGGGTCAGAGTTAAAGGGAGAACAGTGATGTGGGATATTATTGTGGGGATGTGTTACAAACTGCCTGATGAAGAGGACCCTATGGATGAAGTGCTCTATAGACAGATAGGAACAGCCTCATGCTCTCAGGTCGTTGTCCTCGTGCGGGACTTCAGCCATCCTGATATCTGTTGGAGGGACAGTACAGCCCGGCACAAGCAGTCCAGGAGGTTCCTCAATTGTGTGCAAGGCAACTTCCTCCTGCAAGTAATAGAGGAGCTGACAAGGAGAGGTGCCATGCTTGACCTCGTGCTCACCAACAGGGAGGGGCTGGTTGGAAATGCGATGCTCCAGGGCAGCCTTGGTTGTAGCAAACATGAGATGTTCGAGTTCCAGATCCTCAGGACAGTGAGAAGAGCGTGCAGCAAGCTCACTGCCCTGGACTTCAAGAGAGCAGACTTCGGCCTCTTCAAAAACCTGCTTAGTAAGGTTCCATGGGATATAGCCCTAGAGGGCAGGGGGGTGCAGGACTGTTGGTTGGTATTCAGGTGTCTGAATACCAAGCTCAGGAATGTTGCATCCTGACTAGAAGGAAGTGCAGCAGGAGGGCCAGGAGACCTCCATGGATAGATAAGGAGCTGCTGAGGAAACTTAGAGGGGAAAAAAAGAGGCTTATAAAAGGTGGAAGCAAGGACAGGTGGCCTGGGAAGAATACAGGGATGCTGTCTGGGAAGCTAGGGACCAGGTTTGGGAAGCCAAGGCCCAGTTAAAATTAAGCTTGTCTAGGGATATGAAAGATAACAGGAACGGATTCTACAGGTACATTGCAAATAAAAGACAGACTAGGGACAGCATGGGCCCTCTCTGGAAGCTATCAGGAGAACTGGCTACCCTGGATTTGGAGAAAACTGAGGTTCTTAATGACTTCTTTGCCTCAGTCTTCACTGCCAAAGGCTCTGGGCACACCACCCAAGTCTTGGAAGGCAGATGAAGGGACTGTGAGAATGAAGACCTTGGGCCCACTGTAGGAGAGGATCGAGATCATCTTAAGAACCTGAACATGCACAAGTCCATGGGGCCTGATGAAATCCATCTGTGGGTCCTGAAGGAGCTGGCAAATGAATTTGCTAAAACACTGTCCATCATATTTGAAAAATCATGGCAGTCAGCTAAAGTTCCTGACAACTGGAAAAAGGCTAATATAACCCCCATTTTCAAGAAGGGGAAAATGGATCACCCGGGGAATTACAGACCAGTCAGTCTCACCTCTGTGCCTAGCAAAATCTTGGAGCAGATTCTCCTGGAAGGCATGCTAAGGCACATGAAAAACAACAAGGTGCTTGGTGACAGCCAGCATGGCTTCACTAAGGGGAAATCCTGCCTGACCGATTTGGTGGCCTTCTGTGATGGGGCTACAGAACTGATGGACAGGGGTAGAGCAGCTGATGTCATCTACCTGGACTTATGCAAAGTGTTCAACACAAAATCCATGTCTCTAAATTGGCAAGATGTCAATTTGATGATTGGACCACCTGCTGGATAAAGAACTGGCTGGATGGCTGCATGCAAAGAGTTGTGGTCAGTGGCTCAATGTCCAGCTGGAGACCAGTAACGAGCGGTGTCCCTGAGGGATCGGTGTTGGGACCGGTCTTGTTCAACATCTTTGTTGGTGACATGGACAGTGGGATTGAGTGCGCCCTCAGCAAGTTTGCCAGTGACACCAAGCTGTGTGGTTCGGTAGATAACCCTGGAGGGAAGGAATGCCATCCAGAGGGACCTCGACATGCTTGTGAGGTGTGCTGATGCCAACCTCATGAAGTTTAACCATGACAAGTGCAAGGTCCTACACCTGGGTCAGAGCAATCACAGGCACAGCTGCAGGCTGGGCAGAGAAGAGATTCAGAGCAGCCCTGTGCAGAGAAGGACTTGGCAGTGCTGGTTGATGAGAAACTGAACATGAGCAGGATTCAGTGTGCGCTTGCAGCCCAGAAAGCCAACCGTATCCTGGGCTGCATCAAAAGGAGCATGACCAGCAGGTCGAAGGAGGTGATCCTGCCCCTCTTCTCTGCTCTTGTGAGACCTCACCTGGAGTATTGTGTGCAGTTCTGGTGTCCTCAACATGTAAAGGAAATGGAGCTGTTGGAAGAAGTCCAGAGGAGGGCCACGGGGATGATCAGGGGACTGGAGCACCTCCCGTATGAAGACAGGCTGAGAAAGTTGGGGCTGTTAGGCCTGGAGAAGAGAAGGCAGCATGGAGACCTCATAGCAGCCTTCCAGTATCTGAAGGGGGCCTACAAGGATGCTGGAGAGGGACTCTTCATTAGGGACTCTAGTGATAGGACAAGGGATAGCGGGTTAAAACTTAAACAGGGGAAGTTTAGATTGGATATAAGGATGAAGTTCTTTACTGTGAGGGTGGTGAGGCACTGGAATGGGTTGCCCAGGGAGGTTGTGAATGCTCCATCCCTGGCGGTGTTCAAGACCTGGTTGGGCAGAGCCTTGGGTGACATGGTTTAGTGTGAGGTGTTCCTGCCCATGGCAGGGGGGTTGGAACTTGATGATCTTAAGGTCCTTTCTAACCCTAACTATTCTATGATTCTGTGATTCTAAAGATACATTTATATGTTCTTTGAGACTACTGTTTTTTTTTTCAGTTCAATTAACAGCTGGTAATCATATAACCTGATAAAAAATACAGTGCTTTGGAGTTAATTATTGTGGTAAGCAGCCTTAAAATAACAAAGGCATCGATCTTCACTTGAGGGAGCAAAATGGATTTTGTAAGATGTGCTAAAATACCTTGAACCTTTAAGAGTGGGTGACTGCATATGAAAGAGATGAAGGAAAATGAAGCATTATAAATAAAAGCAAAATGGAAAAAGTAAACAGGGAAAATAGTGAAGTGAAGTAACTGAAAAATGTTTTCCCTGGCAAGCAGAATGGGAGCAATATTGTAATGGCCATGGGAAACAGTCACTCATTTTCTCGAGAAGAAGAAAGAATAAGAGTTTGTGGGATGAGATTAAAAAAAGAGAAAATTGACTTGCTTTTTTATAATAATTCCTTAGGGTTTTTTTGTACTGTACTATATTTTTTTTTGAGAAGAAACTGCTAATTTTTGGTTAAGAATGGTCACAATGTTGCTAAGACATTAACTTGTTTGGATTATATTGAAACATATGTGGAGATGCAAATTTTAGGAATAAATGAATAATACCTAAATTTTCATACAAAGTTTAATAATGTAAATTCTTTGCTTCAACTGCTGTTTATAAATTCAGTAAAAGCTTTTGGAGCTGATGAAACAGGCAGTGTAGTGGGTGTACTCAATTTCTTTTCCCTAAAAGCCTTTAACTTGTGGCTTACAGAGTGGTTATCATTTGAGGAAGAGCCTGTAAATAATATTCAAACACGATTTAGGTAAGCAAATAATTCTAATCAGTGAGCTAGTACATCGTGTGAATAAGTGTAGTTTCTAAAAGTCTTTCACTCAGAACTTGACCAGTATTTAACCAAGGTAAATAGTGTCAGTGACTAGACAGTCATTGTCCATTGTACTTGGATCATATGTGTGTTTAGAGTGCAATAAAACAAGCATAGATGACTAATTTTATTTTTGTTATGTATCTGTGGCAACTGAAATTGGTTGCTAAAAATTCACTCAGTCTTTCTCTAACAAACAATTATTTTTTATTTTCATGTTTGTACAGTAACAAATGCGCAGTTCTTTTCTCTTAGGGCAATTCATGGGTATTATGGTATTAAACTAAGTAGCATAAGGTCATTGGCTACTGGGCGACAAAACAGCAAAAAGGAGAGAAAGCAACTGAACACGGAGTGGAAGGGACTGTGTTTTGCTTACTGTAGGGAAGAAGTATCTTGTTTGGTATACTGACCTGTTTATTTTAGTAGAGTTTGCTATTTTTCAGGTGCAGATAAAAACCAACATTTCAAGTCAATATGTAATTCGTACACAGCCAACAAACACCTGTCTGTCTACACTTGAATGTGCAGCTGTTGCTCTTACAATCATGGAAAAAAATAAGAATATACAAGAGGTATGTAACTGTAAACGCCTGCGTTTTTCTTTATTGGATAGCAGAGGGGCAGTGAAGGTACTTACCTGTTAATGTCACATTTGACAATTAAAATCTTAACAGCATTGTAATGGTTTTATTGCATAGCAACTCAAACAAGAATGTATCAATAGAAACTGGTTTTCTTACGTTATTTATTAACTCTAGTATTTTCAGATTAATGTGTAATTTTTCTTGTATTCCAAAAGTCTCTATAGTTTTTCTATTCTTTATTCAATATTGCTCTCAGATTGAAGGCAGATGAAGTGGCTAAGCCAGTAATCATTATATCTGAGAAGTTGTGGCAGTCCGGTGAAGTTCCTGCTGACTGGAAAAGGGGAAATATAATGCATATTTTATAACAGGGAAAAAGTGAGCTGCAGGCCTATCAGTCTCACCTTGGTGTCCGAGCAGATCCTCCTGGAAACTGTGCTAAGGCACATGAATAATAAAGGCATGACTGATGACAGCCAATATGGCTTCACTAGGGGCAAATCATGCCTGAGAAATTTGGTGGCCTTCTACAATGAGGCCACTTCACTTGTGGATAAGAGCAACTGACATCATCCGCCTGGACTTATGGAAGGCATGTGACACTGTCCTGCATGACATGCTTGTCTGTAAATTGTAGACATGTGGTTGGACTGCTTGGTGGATAAGGAATTGGCTGGATGGTCACACTCAAAGAGTTGTGGTCAGTGGCTTGATGTCCAGATAACTTGGAGCCATTGACCACATCAGCAGCTTGATGTTACTTGATATCAGTGACAAGTGGTGTTCCTCAGGGGTTGGTTTTGGTACTGGTGCTGTTCAACATTTTTCTTGTCAAGATGGGCGCTGGGATTGATGCACCCTCAGCAAGTTTTTCAGCAACACCAAGCTGTGTGGTGCGGTCGACATGCTGGAGGGAAGGGATGTTCTCCAGAAGAGCCTCAACAGGCCTGAGAAGTGGGCCAGTGCAAACCTCATGAAGTTCAAGGCCAAGTGCAAGCCCCTGCATCCGGTTTGGGGCAGTCCCAAACACAACTACTGGCTGGGCAGAGAACAGATGAAGAGCTCTGAGGAGAAGCATTTGGAAATGTTGGTTGGTGAGAAGCAAAACATAAGCTGTCAGTGGGTGCTTGCAGCCTAGAAAGCCAGCCTTATGCTGGGCTGCATCAAAAGGAGGGAAAGCTGATTCTCCCTCTCTACTCCACCCTCATGAGACACCACCTGGAGTACCACTTCCAGCTCAGGGGGCCCCAACATAAAAAAGGGCATAGACCTGTTGGAGCAAGTCCAGAGGAGTGCCACAAAGATGCTCAGAAGGCTGGAACACCTCTCGTGTGAAGACAGGCTGAAAGAGCTGGGGTTGTTAAGCTGAAGAAGAAGTGGTTCTTGGAGACAATATAGCAGTCTTCCAGTCCCTAAAGGGGGCCTATGAAAAATCTGGGTAGCAACATTTTATACAAGTGCATGTAGTGACAGGACAAGGGGGAATGGATTTAACATGAAAGAAGATAGATTTAGATTAGATATAAGGAAGACATTCTTTACTATGCGAGTGGTGAGACACTGGAACAGGTTGCCTAGAGAATTTGTGGATGCCCCATCCCCGGAAGTATTCAAGGCCAGGTTGGGCGTGGCTTTGAGCAACCTGGTCTAGGGGAAGGTGTTCTTGTCCATGGCAGGGGGTTGGAACTAGGTGATTTTAATGCCCTTTCCAACTCAAACCATTCTGTGGTTCTATGATAATTTGTAACATGTTGGTGTCAGAATATTTCCTTATTTTTCAGTGATTCTCTGAAGTCAAAGCACAGTAAGGTGATCTTTGACTCTGAAAAACCCAAAGTCTGATGGACTTTGAGAGAGGGAATTGAGATTATTAATGCATGGAAAGTGGTAAGTTGTTTTCGGCAAAAACTAGACAGCAGAGATGATCTGAATAACCCCTCACAGCCAGCTCAAAGATAAAATGCTTTTGTAAACCTGTCCTGCTGACCTCCTGCACTCCTGTGACTGTCAAATGCAACCCACTGGGTTATGTCTTCTTTCCAGCCAGCTTACAACTCTTACATGTCACTGAAGGAATTTGTGACTGAACAGTTCTGGAGTTTAGGTTTATCCCAGGTCAGAGAATACTAATTGGACATTACCTTTTTCTGTGCAAGTTGTGATCCTACTAGTCTGTGAAGGAAGAGGTTATTAAGATAATGTCCTTCTTAATCTTTTGTTGATGACATAAGTAATGTCAATTTAATAAGCCTTTTAAAAAAGGCTCGTAATTTCACACCATAGACCCAGGTCTGCAATCTGATTGTGTGCCCGGTATGTAATACAGAAGGGTCTCTGAAAAGAGATTTAAAGCTCATCCATGGATTCACTACATTCTAGTGTCCAACCTGGGGTGCTCCAGTCCCTCTCCATCAGATAATGAATATTTTGATACTTGACCTCCATCTCTTAAAAAGTGTTCCCAGGTCAAAAATTGCTTCTGCAATTGGCATAGTGGAGAGCATGCCACCCCTGGCATACTCTGTGGTACCAGAGAGTCACCTTAACATTAAATCAGTTGCATTTAGAACCAGGCTGGGACAAAGTGTGTGAACATAAGAAACTGTGGCTCAGAAACTGGAACTCTGCATAAAGCAACTTCTTTAAAAGCTTGTGTCTCTTTTATGGCAGTGCAGCTATCATATGCTTTTATGCTAAAAGAAGGTAATTATTTATTGTAGTAGTTAGAGTTATGAAAAATTTGAAATACTGAAATTTAAATGGGTTTTGTGTATTTATTTTTTCATTTGGTGTGCTAGGATGATGTTGGCATATTTTTCCTTCATTAGGACATCTGTCTTACTCAGATATAGGGTGAATGTTTCATTAGTGTCTGCAGTTCCCAGTCCTGTATTCTGTTTTATCCCTATCCCTTAGAATTAGCTCAGCCTCTTTGTCAAAGACAAAATTATCAATTGCTGAAGGGTGCTTCTATAAATGTTGCAATAGCTAAGAGCTTCATAAACATTTATTCACTTTTTAATATCCTCTCTGAATTAAGTGAGTGCTATTCCCAGCATATAAGATAGTGAATTGAAGTTGAGAGCCATGGAAGTTAAAAATGGAAACATAGTTTGATGCCAAATATAAGTCAAGTGATTTTCCTTTATGCTTGGGAGAGTCACATTTTACTTGGTAGAAACTCAGCTCCTGCTGACTGCAGGATTGCTTTACACATCTGCACACGAGGCCTTGTGATACTGAGTCAGGCAACCAGAAAATGAAGAAATTACAATTAGGAACCACTTGAGATAAATTTGGGTTGTGTGGCTTCATTAGTCCTACGTAATATCACTGTGCAGAAGCAGGGATACAGTCCAGTCTCCAGGACAGCAGGGCCTTTATCATGCACCTCTCTTCTTTTTCCAAAACCTTGCCTCAAGGTATTTTCATGCAAGCACAAACAGCTTATTGTTACTTATTTTATTATAGCTTGTTAGCTGAGCCACAGTAATTGATTCTAGTCCCTTGGTAAGGTCAAGTTAAAGCCGTAACTTAAAGTAATGCAGCTGGGGCTGAAGTCAGGATTGAGTGGGTCCAAGGAAAGGAGTAAGGAATAACAGCAGGTAGATGGATGTATGTCTAATATATGGCTTCCTTTTAGTACATCTCTTATTCAGCTGTACCCTTTGTGTCTCCAAAGGTTATACTTTGCCAGTATTTTTAATCCAAATTATATTTTATCAGCATTTTTAAGTAGTCCTTGAATACAAAACCTGGAATAATTGATGTATCTAAAGAACTTACTAAAAAGTTGGGTTTTTTGTCTCCCCCAACCCCTTCATCTTTCTGCAGACTATACTACGTCCACTTCAAGCTTTATGCTCTTTCCAGCTTCAGCATGGTGCCCAGATCCATCACAGCAAGGAGCATCTTCTCAGAAATGGCTTATATGACAAGCCAATGCCAAAGAATAAGCGCAAACTCAGAAGAATGGAGCTTTTGGTGAATAATGTTAAAATATAAGAAAACTGTACCGACAGTACAGTGGGATTCATTTGCAGCTAGCAAATGAATATGAATCTCGATTTGATCCAAACAGTTGACTGTACTGTAATAAAAAAAAACTTTAGGCCCTTCATAGGCAAGAGTTTGTCTACCAATGTGACAAACAGTAATGGACATGCTTTTTCATGTTCACAGTAGGCCAGGTGCCTTTGTTCAGGAAATAGAAGATCATTTTCATTTCCTATAAAAAAGAAGAAAACTCTGAGCGTAATTTAGAATTATGTTATCTCTTGGGTGTCAAGTATGATCCTCAATATGACTGGATAAATTTACTTTGAAGAAGTTTTTATCAGGACAAAAAAGACAAAAAATATGGAATAGTAAGGCTTCAGCATTTAGAAATATATTGAATTTCTGAACTTCAGGATCTAATTACAGTAGGTTTTCAAACTGTAATTCCTTATATTGCTTAATTCAGATGAACATAAGGCATGGTATTTGGATAGTTCTTTTTAACTTTGAGACTTTCATTTCTTACATTATTAGAATTGCTTTTTTGTAAATTTATATACAATTTACAATGCAGCCAGGCTTAGTTTGTCTCTCAGACTGAACTTTTAAATTAAGCCTGCATATGTTTTTACCAGAACCTGAACATTTCCAACTTAGAAAAAAACCAAGAAAGTGAATGTAGAGAAATGCTTTTTGGAATTATAACTCAGGTACTTCACTTTTACTTGAGCAAAAACTACTCTTCCACAAAACAGGACATTTTATGAACGTGGATACCTCATACCCATACCCTAAAGGAATTAAGCCAGCCCAGTGTAAGGAGCTATGTAAGAACTATATGCAATGAGAAATTATTATGGCTGGATACAACCTACTAATATGATTACAGATCCTTTAATTTCATGTATTCTTTAATTAGTTCTGTTTTCACAGTGGTATAACTGTACCTCTTTCTAATGGGAATCACTAGAAGCGGAAGAATAGGGTATTTTTACAAGCTTTGTAAAGTAATATTTTATGATCTGGAGGAAAAAATAAAGTGAAATAAAGGTTTTGGTGTTCCTTTGTTCATGTTCTTAAAAGCATCCTTCATGAAACAGATTAAAATACTTAATGTTTGTCTTCACTGTTGTTTCCACTCTAGGTAACAACATAGATCTAATTGGGCACTAATTAGTCTTAGAAAAAGATAGTTTGTTTTTAATATATGAGTTGCAAGGCAAGAAACTACAGAAGTGGGGGATGTAAGCACAGCTTACCAATATATTAACTGAAAGCATTTCTGCAATTAACAACAGAGGGCAAAATTAGGTTGGAGATTAGCTACGAAGTTTTAGTTAACTCTGAGCTAATAATGACCTTTTGCTTAGGCATGGATTAACAATTTAATCTGGTTATGTTAGCAAAGTTTATATAACCTTTTTCTCCCAGTGTAGATAAATCCTGTATCTGTTGCTAAGTTCACAAATGTGAATTAGTTTTGACAAATCTGAAGCAAAACAGTCTCATATGATTAATGACAGTGTAGATGCACTTTTGTTCACATTGGAACAGAGAAAGGGCATGTTTATTCCTGTAGCAAAGCACAGCACAGCAATCTCCTTGATAGCTGCGAGTCTGAAGTTGCAGTCTTGTGCCACTTGTATGCACAGCCTTGTGTATGGCACTGCCTCCAGTTCTGGGCTTGGCATGGCTCATGCTGGACTGGGAGTCTGCTTCCCCTGTGCTCTGGAATATGGTCCAAGCATTCTTTAAGGAAACAAGGGTATCAGTTAGGCTTTATTGTTAATGCAATATTTACATATATGGACTATATTCACATTTAATGTTGTATATGTTAATTTAATTTACCGTATTTTAGATTCATCTGGAACAGTAGTGTATCTTTCGATCTACATTGTGAAGATTACTTTTCTGAACAGAACACTAAATGTGTCTTTTCATAAAATGTGAGTTTATATTATGGAGAACAGAAAGAAATTTGTATTACAACCTGAGATTCACAGACATCTGCAAAATGCCTTAGAATTACAGGATCAGAGAAATAATTGTCCTGTGCATGCAGTGCACAGTTTTCATGTTTTTCACTAAAGAACAAATTCCACATGGCTTACATTAAGCACTTCTTAGTTTTGTTGATTCCTCTTGTTCTTCTAATTTTGCTCCTGTGGTTAACAAGATTTGTAGGATGTAATGCTGGATGCATGGAAGATTTTAGCTGCTAATTTCCTGTGTTGTACAATACTAGATCAGTCACTTTGCAGCAGTTGCTGAAGAAATGAAAAGCAATTCATTGCAAACCTCCAGGCATTTTATTGTTTTAAGTTTTTTGTCTCATCTGAGCTATAACATAGTGATCGTGTAGCTGCAACACAGTCACGTGAAGTTCAATTTCAGATTTGTTCAAAGCTATTAAACACAGAATTTATTTTTTTTTTACATTTTTGGTGGAACTTAAGTGGCTTTAAAAATATACACAGTGTGGGAGGAATTGTTTATAAAGTTTGTTTTCAGGTCTTTCGTATTCAGAATTTACCTCTAAATACACTACCTCAAATACATGTGTACTTCAAAGTCCAAACTCTTGACGGAAGTTGTGTGTGATGAAGTAGCAGTTTTTTTGTAAGCAACAGCATTAGAATGAGTTGAATTTGCAATTTTATTTTTTGCTGTAGTGATCAGTCTGTTTCATTTTTTACTTACTAAAAGATTAATGTGTGAAATTCACCAGTTTTAGCAAGATATTGATTAGAAAGAAAGGAATTTGTTTGCTTCGAATGTTTGGTCCCTTGTCCTTATCCACTTTGCTCTTCCAAATATTGCTACCAAAATGAAATCTCCCTTCCACATGCCACTATGTCATTCTTTGGGGAACTGGTGACATGGATCATAGAATAGTTATAGAATAGAATCACAGAATCGTTAGGTATGGAAATCAGTTGTTTGAATGCACAAACACATTTTAAATGTTCATAAAGGCTGGGAATTGTTAAGTCTTCCTATATTCATAATCCACAAGGCAAAGTTTAAGAAAAAGACAAAGCTAGAAATCTTTAAAAATAAGAGCAGAACCACACTACACCTTTTGTTTAGAAAGCTATCAAATTAAAATTGAAGAGATGCTCAGGGCAAGCATAAATTTATTTCTCTTCAAGATTTTACTTTCATTGCCTTATAATGCTATTGGAATTCCAGCTGGAAGATGATGTTACCATAGTACCAAGAAATTAGTGTTATATTAGATTCTCTTGAAATAAAAAGAAAACTTTTACACTGATTTCAAAAGGGGCAAAAATTAGTTTAAGACCAAGGGTTTTCTTCTCAACTGTTACATTAGATCAAAAACTGCTTATGCTGCATTATTTTCTATAACATACCTGCTTTTTTTTTTGAAATTTAATTAAAACCAAAACTTTTAAAAAGAGATAGTGGTTTATGCTTTTCTCCTGAGGTTTGTGTTTATTATGCCTACATATATAAATGCACATAAATTATGTATTTGTTTCTGCTTCGAAGCAATAAAAGATCTAATTTACTGTGAACCTGTGCCACCGTGTCTCTACAGAAGTGAATTTGTTTGCATGTACTGGAATCACAAAGAGGTAAGCCTCATCCTTTTCTGTGCCTGTATAACACTATTCAGTCAATGACAAGATGTTGCTTTTCTTATGCCATTTGAGGAAAAAGATTCCTTTGTAATCCAGTGCAACCTGCATGAAGACTAAATTGTTATGGCAATTTCTTGGACATTTCAGTTTCTTGTGCAGTAGTGGCTCATTCCTGTTTGCTACCCACAGACATACACACCTTCCCACACTCTAGCATCCCCCAAGTGCTGTGTCTCCAGCTCAGTACCCTACTAGGACTAATGATTTGAACATCCTGTATCTCACGCACTTTTTTCCTTCCCCAGATTGCCATACTCATCCTAAAGAAAAAGCTATCTCTGTTCTTATCCAGCCATTCCTCATCCCCCTGCCATAAAACCTGTGCTTTAGGGACTTCCATAACACTCTTAGTTACCAGGCTTGTTCCTTGTGTTCCTTTTCACAATCCCTACAAAGCCCCAGCACTGCATGTTCTGAGAGCTGCTGCTTTTGTGATGGGAGACAGATGACTGGGGAAACTGAAGAGTGGAGGAGAAAAAGGTTTGTGCTTCAAGAAGTTGAATAAGGGTCCTAGATAAAAGTTGCTTCTGTTGCTAGGGTACAGTTGCTGTAAAGCATGATACTTATCACTATGGTTTGGTGTTCATTTAATGCCAGGATTATCCTAACCTTTTGACTTTCCTGTGGAGTATATCCTAGGACAGCTGCTTTGTTTTGCTGGTTTAAGATTCACTAAATACTTATTTGGTTCCCTCTGTATTTCCTAAAAGATGCTAACTAGTTTTCTGTGTGAGAAGGGACTTTTATCACTATGCAACAGAAAAATTTGCAGTAGCTATGGGGCAGCAATGCTTGCAGCACAGTTATGGCTTAAGTTGATGTGTATACACCACTTGATCTGGTTGGACCATGCATTTTGCACATTTTCTGTCAGAGATGCAAGAGGCAGCAGATGCTCAGCTGGAAGTAGCTTTGAACTGTTTGCTCTGCCCTTCTAAGTAATAATTAAAAACCTCAGTAGCTGTAATAGACCATATGCTGTGCTGTGGCCTACTGTGTCTGTAAGGATAGGTAACATATTTTAGCTTTTATAGCTGAACTGAAACTGGAGCTTTATTTGCCATATGAAAGATTATTTGGGGCTTGAGTACTGGGATTTATTCTCAATAAGAAAGTGTATCAAAGTGTACATACAAAAGATTTAAAGTACCTTAAGACATATCTACTCTGCTATGTGTTAGTGGAAAAGCAACATAGAATATTTGGCAAATTAATAATATCTGAACCATTTGCATTTGAACATACATGTAATTATAGATAATATGTTTGCAAAATACATAATTATTTAAAGTTATCACCATTTTAAAATATGTTTTAAAGGTAAAATAAAATTTGTAGTTTTCTAGTTCCTTGCTTTCATTTTCCTGATGAAACGGTGGTGTATGTATATAGTGGATGTGTAGAAAAAAGTAGATTTTTAGTTTTTTTTTAATATATATATATGCTTTTTTAATATATTTTTAATGAATGTGTTGAGAAATGGGTCACATACTGGTTGTGATTAAGCATTTGAAGAATTGAGGTAATTTACATTACATTTGAATCTTTTCCATAATTACTAGCAGAAGGTAATGAGGAAAATGTGATACTGTAGTATGTTAATTTATCAGCTTCTGATATTTTGCTCTACTTGAAGTAGTACTCTAAGAGATTATAACTTTGTACAAAATCAAGTTCCCTATTCTTTCCAGAGATTAGACAGGGAGTCTTGAGTCAGTGCTAGACGTACTGTTGTATGCCAAATGTAGAATCAGAATTGTAAAGACTACCAAGTTTAGATGAAAAGAGCATTTATATAATTTTCCCTAGAAAGATTGTGTGGATTCCACCCCCCCCCCCCCCCCGAGAATGTCTGTGGAGTAGTTTCTATGTTCTTTCCATTTGTGTGCCATAGAGAGTTATGCAGAACTGGAATTTTACTGATCAGTCTGTTTCATTCTGGACTGTATCAGTAATGCTGATACTCAGGTATTAGCCAATAAGGATTGAACACTTGCAATTTGTGACCCTTCTCTTTTATTTTGAGCAGGTATTTGTAATAGACAAAATATGTACTTCACTTGACCTTGAAACACTTCTGCAATTCTTGTTCTGCTTGGCTTTGTTCACCTGTCTGCCCACATTCAGATAGCAGTTCTCCCCTTTGGGGTTCCTGCTTCTTGTCTTCCTGTCATCAGCCAGAGTTTCACATTCTTTAACTGTGCAGCCTGAACTTACGTGCCTACCTGCAAAATTAAATCACCCCTACCTCTCTCTTCAGACAGCAGTCATGTTTCATTTTTGACCTCGTTGTTACTGCGGAGTCACGGCGATATTTTGCTGAGCTGTTTTGGCACTGTTGGGGCATTATGTGCTTTTGATACGAGGAATGAGAAAACGGTGTGA